GGATTCGAACCCGCGACCCTCAGATTGTGAGTCGAGCGCCTTATCCACCTGGCCATGCCGGGCACTAATTTGTAGTTAGAATATATTTCACAAGTGAAGCTTTTCAGTAGTGATCACTCTACTTCTACTGACTCCTTTCTTACCAGGGCTCATTTCAAATTAGTTTCATTTGTTGACTCACGTTCTCTCGTGTATTTTTAAATACACGCTTAATTTTATGTAAGGTATTCTTATTTTTATTGTAAAATATGAAGCAATCCTGTAAGTTAATTAATTCAACAAATTTTTATCGGCTAATTGTTTGTTAGAATTAAAATTTATTCAGCATCTTTATCTTCGGCCCATTTTCTGGCGACCTCCAGGGCGGCCGAGGCCCCCACTTTGGGAAACACTGGTTTTAAGTACTGATCATGACATGTCGAGTGCAACATCCCGTGGGCCTCACTTACAGCCCCTAAAGTCCTTTTAAAATTAAACAGTATATAATGCAATACATATAAAATACACATTACTCTATTTACCAGCAATTAACAAGGTAACATTAACTAGAACAAATTAATTTCCACATTTATCAGCTATTTGTAATATGCATCAAACTCAACCTAAACATAATTAAAATGCTCTAAAACAATTGTCGTCGTTTACTGTATTCGTATATAACATAGGCGTAGTAACTCTAGATATCACTGGTGGTTGTTTAGTCCAAAACTGTACAAAAGACTATTTAAGCTCTGTCCACCGCGGGAAATCAAACTCCGGTAACCGCTGACCCATTGGGAGACAATCTAGACTTTTTACTGTATTTTGCCATACACTTAGCGAGAAAGACTTTATAGCACTTACAATGCTTAATGAAACAATTAATTATGCTAGAATTATTCCTCGAGTTAGCAGCCATATTTTCATCGAAAAACAATGGAATGATCAGCCCGTAGGCTAATGACCAACATATTCTTATAAAAAGTGAAACGGAGACAGCCTTATAGCGGCAAAAACTTATTTCATCAATTAAATGCAAGGAAGGCTAAACATATATAACATTGAAGATTAACCGTGCTCTATAAGAAGAATGTTTCAATTCATGGTCTGTCCTTAGAACAGTTGTTATTTTTTCATCGTTCATTGTGAATTGTTGTTGTTTGTTATAAAGCACAAAGCTACACAAAGGTCTATCTGTGCTCTGCCCTCCTCGAGTATCGAAACCCGGTTTCTAGTAGTATAAGTTCGCAGACATACTGCTGTTCCACTGAGGGGAGGGGCGTCATTTTGAGCTTGCTAACTATGATTAAACACTGTTGTTCGACGCCTCAGTTTCAATTATAACAGACTTCAGTAAGGAACGACGAGGTCAGTCTTAGACCATACGTTTTGAAAATTGGTCACAGACTACGCGCGTCAAAAGGCATGAAGATCCACTGTGTCTGCATTAGGGGCTTGACAGATGTGCGTTCGAAAGGGATTGCTGTGATTTCAGTGTCTTTGAAAACAACCGTTGATTGCGACGCGTGAGTGGAAACTTGTGAACTTTTGGCTTTAAATCCTTATTTATTCTCTTGTTTACGGTACCATATAATATTTCTTGCTTTATCACAATGATTTTTTTTTTGGTTGAAAGGTTCTCTCTCGTAACCTTAATTTTCACATTGCGGATGAGAGCGTTGCTTCAGA